GGTATAGATGGGGAAGAGGATGGAGGAACAGATTGTCCCATGTCTGGCTGATGCAGCCACCCCAAAAGGAATCACACGTGAGAACAGGCAGAGAATGGAGATTGGGAAATCATCAAAAGAGGCAATCCAAGAAGGTCTATATTCTAAAATGGAATGCAGAAAAAGGAAGAGCGGTCTAAAGAAAAACAAGAAAGAAGAAGGAAGAGAACACAGAAACGAGAAGACACGACAATAAACATAGAAAAGAAAAGAAAAAGAACAGACAAGACAAGAAAAGAAAAAGAACAGACAAGAAAAGAAAATAAAAATGAACAGGAAAAGGCTCCCTTGAAGTACTGCAGTTACTTTAGCAAGTCGGCTCGCTAATCAAGCTTTTCTCATTCAACCACATTCATTTGAGACCTCTGCTCTGCTCCGCACTTCACCTTACTTCACCTGCTTGCGCCATCTCACGATATCTCCACGTGTCCTGTTGGCGTTTCTCCAGCGAGCGGGAGAACATTCGTCGAAGACAAGCCATCGACTCCTTCATCTCTTCACGTGGCAGTTCGCTGTAGTTCTGAGTCTGCTTGCTCTGAGAACCCATAGGACCACTGCATTGACTACAGAGAACCTATAGGCCCATGGCTAGCGCTCAAGTATGCTCAAGTCTTTTCTGAATAGGCCCCATGACCATTCACAACTCTGTCTTTGTTCGTTCGCGCACTCTTCCCCAACGAGGTGCACTGGAACCTCGTCAAGAAGACGAAGGGCACCACAGTGCCACACTGGAACCTCGTCGAAAGAAGTCGAGGAGGAATGGTGTGGGCTTTGTTGTGAGCCAAGGTTTGACCACGATCGGACGGATCCTTTGGGATAGAAGGTTTTAGCGTCATGTTTCTCCAACCAAGCGCCTCCTCTCACATGGCCCTCAAAGCGCCCCAAGTCTGACTCTTGCAAAGTGAGAGAACGGCAATGTGGACACTTTCCTTGCATTCTATTTTCACATCCCGGAATAGGTTGCCTCGATACACAAGAGAACCTCAGTGCTGGATCAAGAGAATTGCAGGTTGCTTTGTAATCCTGCAATGGAGCTCCATTGCTGAGTCATGGTGGTTTGCTTTCTGTGTCAGTGTTCAGACGTGTAAAACACAAAATCATCGAAGGACCACGCTAAGCCCTTTCCATTTCAGGAGACAACATGAATCATGAATGCACCTTCTCCTCAGAGAGGAAAGTCGTTGTGTGCTGAGGAGGGCTTTGCTTGCTTTGTTACGTTAAACCGTTAAACGTTCTCTTTTTTTTGTGAAGATCTCTGTGAGCCCAGGATGATGAGCACTTGCTTGTTGGCCAGGAGCTTGACGACCCTCCTGAAGGGATGCCGGTCGTGTCGACGTTCTTTTAAGAACACTCCCATTTTTGCAGGGAAGACCTTGGGACAAGGGTATCTTGAAGTGCTAAACCACAAAGAAAAGCCACCAGACGGCTGGTACGAGTATTCTGAAACTGCTTGATTGGCTCTAGCACTCTAGCTCTCCATGTGTTTGCTTCTTGGGATCAGCCCCCCAAAACGGAGATTGAACTTCACTCTACTTGAAGATGGCCTTGGCAAAGAACTCAATGCAGACAGCTTCGAGAGTCTGATAAGTCTTGATACTGCGATGTGGTACAACGCCAAGGTTTTTGTAAAAATAACGCCACTGTTTTCAGTGTTTTTCTTGGACAATTTCTGTGGTCTTAAAGAACACATGCATGTTGGTACACAGGCTGAACTTGCACCGCTCGATGGAGATTGTTTGGCCGACCTGTTCTTTCCGTCTTCTCCCCATCTAATGTTGGCGCATGTTGACCGGCGACCAAGCGGGCATATCATTGGTCAAACATAGAACCCTTGTCCCTTTCAGGTCTGGTAAAAGGTTATGCGTCCAAGCGCCTGAGTTATCCAGTAAAAAGGAACTGGACATTACATTGACTCAGCTGCGCAGTGCAGATTTCTGGAGATCTCAATGTAGTGGAAGAGGTTTTTAGGGATTTTGTTTGCTAGTAATTACAAGTGCCTCGCTAGTAGTTGGGATGCCAAAGGAATCCGTCTTGGGAATTTCGTCAGGTAGATTGGCAACGGACTGGAAGACTAGGGACTTGTATGGAAAATAGCCTTTTAATCAAGTATACAAGTTCGTGTTGTCTTTGTTCTGATCAACCTTGTGAAAGCTGACAATTGAAGACTCAAAGCTGCGGACCATAGGAATGGTGTGTGTAAGTGCGTGAGTGAGTGTGAGTGTTGATGATCTTTGCTGGCTGGCAATGGAGTGGCTTTGCAACCTTGCCCTATAAGCTGGTTGGTGTTTCGAATCTGGTCACCAGAGAACAAACTCAATCGTGCGGGTCTGTCAACGCTTCTTTCAGCTTTTACTTCTTGTTCTTTCGCCAGATTGCTTTCCTACAGTGATCGATTTCTCCAGAAATCCACATTTTTTTTCTTGGACCACCTAGTCAGAAAGCTTTTTCCGGCCGCCGAGACAGGCAGTGCCGAGCTTGTGACTTCTGATGGCGCTTGTGCGCTTGTGACTTCTGTAGATGGCGCTTGTGCGCTTGTGACTTCTGTAGATGGCGCTTGCGCGCTTGTGACTTCTGCGTCGCTGTTGGCCGAAGGAGTCAAAATGCAATGCTACCTGAGTTCGATGAACCTGGCTAGGCTGAACACCGCCGTCAGTCAGGGTCTTTGCTGCTGGTAGATGGTGCAACGCCAAATGACGACTTTTCATCCTTCTGGGGGTGCTGAGTTACCAACCGTTTTTTTGTGCCTTTTGACAGTTGCTGGTCTCAAAACGATGTCATTTCTGTCGTCGTTTCATTTGCTGCCTCACTTCTGGCACGTTCGGATTGGCCATTTGTGGAGCCAACAGCTGTCGCATTGCTACTTTTGTGTGGCTCAGCAGACTTAACTTCACTTCACTACACGCTAGCCTTCTCTTGCAGCCATTCCTGAAACTTGCAGTTGATTGGAGACTTGTGCACGGTCTGTGGCATGCTCACCTAGCACTGCACAACTTATGTGCATTCCATGTGCAGACACTCATTGACCCAATCGAACAAATGACATTCACATCGCTGCAAAGGCACATGCTCAACATGTTCACTTTCTTGACACGCCGTGTGTCCCGTGAACTGATGGGGAAAGACCCTTGGGCCAAAGCACCGCATGCAAAGACCCTTGAGGCGGTTTTGGGCGGAAAGTGTCCAAAGTGTGATTTTTTTGTTTGTGAATGGCTTTTGGCCATGTGTTCCGACAGTTCTGGCGCATGGAAGCTCAGTTTCCTGGAGCAACTCAATGAAGTCGAGTTTCTAAATTCCGGCCGGGTGGGGGAAGGCTGTGGCAATCTTCACTGAATTCATTGATAGAGCTGCTTCATGGTTGATGGTGGAAACAAGATGCTGTACCTTTCGTGGATTGCGCATTACATCCCTCAGTACCCTCAGTTTGGTCAATCAGACAAATCCCAACAACTAGCATTGCACGCAACTGGGATCAAAACAACAAGAGCAAAGAGCAAGATCTCTTTGGGAACAGATCCATTTTGGAACTGGCTAGAATGGCCAAGCCGGAGGGTTGATTAAACAAGCAGCATGCTTTTGGACATCCAAGACACAGTCCCTCAAGTGGAGCTGCAGAACCGCGGAGTTTTTGGATCCTTGGGAGTGTCTAATATGGAAGGCGCTTCCAGCCACCATTTTCTTCCTCACCTTGATAGAAGATGCTAGAAGCTAGGAGGGAGTCTTTTTGTTGGATGAAAGTCCCATGTTCCTTCTCAGGAGTGGCTCGGCGTCAAGCAGGGTCACAAAATCCAAACTGTTTCCAGCCTTCAAAAGAAATAAATACGTCGAATCGATCTTTCCTCACATCCTCATGTCCTCACGCGCCAGGCTGGCCATGGCTTGTGCAAAAGCACAGAGGTGCCACTGTGGACAAGTGCTATGGTGCTTTTGTGCGCTTTGGCTAGTCAACTTTTGTTACTTTTTTTCTCAGAACACCGTTGTTAGGTTACATAATTCAAGTTGGAGCAATATTTGTCGGCAGTTTCGGTCAGACCTCTGGTTGCTGCAGCCATTTGGAGCCTGTTGGACTTCGGAAGCTTCGTTGCTGAAGCTTCTGAGCTGGAGCCGGAACGCTCTGATGGCCATCGCGAGTGGATCAAAGATGGAGAAGGCCGGGCTGAAGACACTGCTTAAGGCTTTCTGTTCTACTTTTGCTGTAGGTCTTGTGGGTCTGAATGGTTCATGGTTCATCGGACCTGGCTTTCATGTCTATGAGCTTGATTAAGGGAGATTCTGGAGGTGTAGGGTTTTGCAGAGTTTTGCAGTTTTGCCTTTGATTTGATTTATGACTCTTCCACTTTCGTCCACTTCAAGGCCCCTACTGACATAAAACCTCCCATATGCCACTACTTTTTGCCGCAGGGGATCAGTGCAGAAGACTCTGAGAAGATCCTCCGCATGAGCAACCGGGCCTAAGCTATCATGCGGATTTTTTTTTGGGATGATGACATGCTTTCCGCATATCAAGCTGGGGAGAAGACCATAGGTCTACCATGGCTGACGAATGGATGTTGAGGGGTTGTGAGGTTTCTTTTGACAGGCAAGCGGCTTTGTTCATTTTCCTAGATTGCACACTATCAGCCACTTGTGTCATTTGTTGTTTTTTTTGTTTCTTTTTGTAAGTGGTGTTCAGGTGCCGCCAAATTTTGCACAGTTGGCCTGTTGCGTTTAAAGGACTTTTGACTTTCGACATTTCCGTGGACAGAAGACTGGACTCAAAATGTACGCTGTACTTGTTGCAGTTTTCCAAAGCATAAACGGATGTTTTTCTTTCAGACATGCAGGCAGGTGATCTTCACCCCTTTCTTTCTGACATCTCTTTGCTTCTGTTGCTAATATGGACGGGAACTTGCACGGAATATTCTATATACGCTTCTCTTGAGCAAGGTCACCCTTTGTTTCTTCACAGAATGAGACGATGGACCATGGACTTACGCCGAGGTCAGAAAGGTATGTCCGTCCAAGCCATCGCAGAGGTGTGGAACGTGGATGCCGTGGAGATTGAGAAGACTCTGGAGTTGGCGCAGTCCTCCGCTGGGAAGGACAGACGCTTTGAGGAAGTCAATCGAACTGTTTCTTGCAGAATCAGCAGATTGTTGATGAACACCCAGGAATGTTTATTGCAAGTGCCTTTTTCTCTTCCCCTGAGATGGGGGCTTTTGTCTACCGTTGGGTTTTCGGAGCGAAGGCTTTAGCTTCGACTGTTGAGCCTCAAAGCCCCACCACATCTTGGCTAGGTTGAATTGTCTGTGGCCTTGTAACCATTTGTAGAGAGGACAGTGAAAGTGGCTGTCAAGTGCAAGCCGAACATTGCCGGACCTCCCTGGCAACTTGCTTGCAGCATTTCAGAAAGTGATCGTGTGCCATTGCAGGGTGTGTGGCAGGGTATGTGCTTTTGGCCGTTTGAGAGACAGCGTAGTCATTGCCACGCACCTCACCCCCTTGCCAGTGAGCCGAGGTGAAGCGACTGATGGAGGACCCACCTGACCTTTGCTGCCCCATATCTCATGGGTTGATGGAGGACCCGGTGGTCGCGGCCGACGGGTTCTACTACGACAGGTCCTGCATCATGGATTGGCTCGAAAGGAACACCGACGCTCGAAGTCCAACAACCGGGGTGACGATGCACGCGACTGTGCCATGTAGATATTAGCATATTCTTTCTGCAATGATGGTGCGCAGGTGCGTTTCAACTGATAGCCACAGCTTTGAGTTTTGAGCCGTGTGCCTGAATGCTGTAGCTACAGGCACAGTTGAACCATTTGTGCCCTATGCTGCGTTTATGTGTTAGCTGACTAAGTTGCCAATGGACTCAGCTTCTTTTCACGAGGCCAACGGCCGGAAAGTCACTCAAGACTCAAGCTCGTTTTATTGATATGGTAAAGGGATGGCACCACAGATCAACACGGTTTTTCGACTCTTTTCAGGGACCTGACAATCGGTAAAGGATTAGTTGGACTATATATAGCTGTGACCCAAGATGACTTGGGACAACTTTTGCTGAATACTTGGAAGAAAGAACAGGTTTGGAGGAAGCGGAAGCACAAGCTTCTCCCCAACTTTTTGGTTTATTTCCAGATCTCTTTGTGTGACCAAAAGTATTGAGTACCTAAATAGTCAGCATTGAACGCCTTTCTGTATTTATTGACTTCAGGTGCTTTACCCGAGCCAGCGCGTGAAGTCGGCCATCATTGCATACAAAGAGAACACCGTGCAAGAGATTTTGTCGGTTGCCTCAAAACTACCGAGCGACGAAGTACTTCAGTTACTTTTGAGAGGTGAGCAGTTTGTGCGGCCACTTTTGCCAGATGTTGCTGCCAAGAGGAAGCTCTCTTCCTTGCTACTCCTTCGAGGTAAGCTGCAAGGGAATCGCAGCGAAGTCAACAACAACTGGTGCCTATGCTTTTGGAGGTTAGAAACACTTCGCAACTTCAGGAGTTGTTGGTAGACATGGACGAAAAAGAAGTTCTGTGGCTTCTTCGCCAACTAGATGAGGGTATGATCAAATCCTTGACTGTGACAGGCCCCCACAAGATCTTGGTCTGCAAGGAGCTTGCTCGCAGAATCGCAAGCTCCACAGTTGCAGATGAGCAAGGTAAGAGCTTGAATTACCTGTGGGATATCCTTCACGAACATCAGGCAACAGATGCGCAAGAATCCTGGGTGAAAGCAGCATCTTTGGTGCTGGCAGCTTTCAGCCGCATGTTGACAGTGCAACTGGAACGGCCTGACGTCAAACTGCTCCGCCATGCTTGCGGTTTCCTGAGTACCCAAGAGGTTGCCGCCACGTATGCAAAGAATTTTTTCGACTCTGACCTTGGCATTTCCAGCTTTGAGAAGTGGCCACCAAAAAGTTCGGCTTCCATCTTTGCCGCGCTGGCCTCGCTTGTGGATGACGACAAAGATGAGGAGAAGCTCGAACTGTTGATGAAAGCACATGAGTTGAATGATTCTGATGCAGAGGTGCGTTTCGCTCTGTCAAAGCAGCTTGGTCGATGTATGCTGCGCCAGCGCATGACTGATGACGGCAAGCATTTGGAAGGGTTGCTCCTGAAATTGCATCTGGAAAAGGAAGAGGACATTCCCGCCGAGGTTCTATCCAAACTTAGCCTTGAGCAAGAAAGTCTGAAGAGTTTGCGTGGTTCGCAGCTCATGCTTCTTGCAAAGATGCTCGAAAAGGCCAACCGACGAGCAGATGGAGCTCGGGTAGCTGTTGCCGCTGCAGAAGCCTTTGCTGCAGATGGGAGTGAGGATGAATCTCATGGAGCAATTGCCACTGCCCACTACCTAGACCGCACCAACGACGATGCATCCTACCAGTTGTGTGCACTTCTTGGGAGTCTTGCCAGCAAGTGCAAGAACCTTGGAAACCAATACGCCGAGCTTTCGGACAAATACAACGAGCTCCAGAAGGCCCAACAGGCGCCCATCCAACCTTCGCTGAAGTCTTTTGTGTGGGATTTGTCGAGCTACGACTTCACCAACTTCACCGAAGAGCAGGAGCAACTCAGCGAGAAGTTCCAGCTCGGGGCGTCCGGCGTCGAGGCTTGGCTCGATTTGCGACCCAAGGCAACTCCAGACAAGGCCGGTCTGTTTTTTTGGGTCAGCGAGCCCGTCTGGGTGAAGTGGCGATTTCAAGTGGGCAGTTGGGAAGACACTATAGAGTGGGAATTTGCAAAAAAGGAAGATGGCAGCATATCTGGCTATGGTTGGCCGAAAGCAATCCCCATTTCCAACCTCGCCTCGGGCATCGCCTTCCATCTGCCGAGCGTCCGCCGCGCCGGGTCCTCACTGCGGTTGGTGGCTCCGGGCTCTTGAAGAGCGGATCCCGGTCCGTGCAGCGCCGAACGCCAACTGACAAGTGGGCACCGGCAGTTTTGAACGCAAGAAAGCAGCAAACATCGGCCGAGAATTCGTCTGAAGTCCGAAGTGAGACTGGCCGAGAATTCGTCCTGAAGTGAGACTTTCGTTTTTTGTGGTGTGTTTACGTGGGTCGCATGGCGTGAGTCATCATGAGAGAAGTGCCATCTTTGAATTACTATAATCAAAATTCAATTCCAAAGGGCGACAGGGATTTTTTTGGCTCGTGGAGCCTCAAGGACCGATCAACGGAAGTCCGTCTATGGTTTAGTAAGCTGAGGAATTAGTTTCAGACACAAGCGCTGAGGACTAGCTTTAGGCAATATCTCATCTTGAAGCGGATGAGTGCAAGGCTTTGCTCAAAGCACCGCGCGACATCAAGGAAAATTGCTCCTGGCAGGGCTATTTGAACGAGTGGTTTTTACTTTTTCATCTTTGCTTTGAGTCCAAGTGCCTTTGTACTCAGCCGGCAGCTCGATCGATGCATAGAAGACCTCCAAAAACTGTTTGAAAAACAACTTTGCAAGGTTGACGTCGACCTGTGTCAGCACGGGGGTCCCAGAGCTCAAAGTCCCTGCAGTTTGGATCTTTCTTTTTAGATGAACCTCATGCTGGTGGCTTCCCAAGGGGGAATATGTACGCTGAGGGTCAGTAGCCGGAAGACGTAGCCAGGCTATGCCAGACTCAACTCTTGCCCAGGCTGCCAGGCATGTTAGTCACTTGGTTTTGTATGTAAACCCGCAAAGAAAAGTAGAGTGGCTTCGTTCTTCTTGCACAAGTCCTGCGAAAACGAAACCCGTGTCAATATACTCACACTCCATACACAGATTCAATTGCTGGTTCATTTTTTCAAAGGTCTGCTCTCGAAATGAAACAAAAGGTTTGAGGTGATTGATTCGCCTGCCTGATTTTGAAAGAAGTTTTTGCGGTGCCGAGGCTGGAAGACTGTAGGGACTTGTGCGAAAAGGCACCTTCGCGTCCCAATGTCGAAGCAGATGTCGCTGATCACCAATGCTTTCACCACAGGCGTTCTGGGAAGGTCCAAGTGGCGAGTGGGACGGAAGAATCGTTTTTTTTTGCCATCTTAGACATGGTAAAGGTTGTTCATTGCACATACACCTGACGCCTGTCTCTCAAACAATCGATGTCACATCTTGCCGGGTCGTAGTAGTCTCAAAGTGTCTCATGAAAACAACTCTTCAGAACGCGATGGGAGTACGTAGCTGCTTGGGGGGGTTAATCTACTCGTAGCCGCTGTAGCCTTTTGTTGCTGTTTTTTGTGGCTCCAAATATGTGAACGTTGGTGGAGAAAGGACCATTTTGTCACTCACAGAGCCGTCGTTCGATGGAGATATGTGCCTTTGCGCACCGCAGCCTGGGGCCCCCCTTTTAATCTCAGAGAAGTTGGCAGTTGGAATCACAGGGGCTTTTGCGGCAGAAGCGTGGAAAGGAAAGGACAGGTTTGTTTATGGTCGGCAGTAGCTTTGAACGCTTTGTTGCCAACACGTTATAAACGAAGCCCGCGCACACATGCGTAATACTTCAGGCAGACAAAAGTTTACGCTTGTTAGCCTTCTTACAAAACACTCTGAGGTCAGCGGCGGATCGAATTAACAAGTCTGATTTTCGTGGCAGGTATGGGACGGTCAATTATCACACCGTTTTAACTCTATAATAATAAAGGGCTTTCCGGGGTGACAAATGACCGCCCACACCTTCCCTTGTCTCATGGTGTAGGATTCTAGGGGGATAGGGTTGTCATGAGTTTCAACGTCAACAAGCGCAACTTTCATCTGGCCAGTGTAGTTTGATCATGCTCCACTTCGGAGAAGTAGAGAACCTGTGGAGAGTTGGCTGCTGCAGAGTTTGTGCCGTGATCAGGAACAGCCGAACTCAAAGGATTGAGTGGTCAAGGAACATTTTGTGTGTATGTGCAAGTCGGGTTGCGTGATTGCACAGTCATACGCATGCCTTAGCAAATCCCAATGTTCCATGATTGTCCTGGGGCTGTTTTGGACCTCTCGCGTGCCAGGCTCCTTTGCCGGGATTGTGCCCGTTTAGACTCTGACAAGGCGACGTGGAGTCTTGCAGTGAACCAAAACTGCCATGGAATGACATGATTTGTGATGAAACGTGGGTGTTCTCATAGATTTGCAAAAGGGTGTTCTCTTTGACTCATGTTCGACCCATGTTCTCGTTGTGATTCCAGTTGAAGCTGGTACCTGCTTTTTGGTGGACTTTTCATTTGTGATGCAGCCATTTCGAGCTTCATTCGACCGCGAAAGCTTGACAGCTTTCCCGGAGTAGATCATCGAAGATGGAGGAGGTCTGGGGTGGGCTGAGTCAGGGGCATCGGATCTAACAAACGAAAGATGCCAGGGGTTTTGCCCTTTTTGCAGTGTCTTTGCGCCCACAGCCTGGATGGCAAGTCAAGCAGTAAGCGCCAAATATTTAAGCAATCAAGCTTGGGTCTCTCGAGTGCATCCCACAGGAACTATACAAGCCACCACTTCCATTAATTATGTTGGGGCTAGGTGTGATGAACCCCAATTGCCTGAACTCCTCAAATCAAACAGAACCTGTTTGTAGAGTGGCCAAGGATTTGGTAAACCAGGAAGGATGTTATTGATTGCTGCAGGTCATTTGCGCTGCCAAAACCGAAAACAAATCACTTGGACCTTTTGGATCCTTGTGAACAGGACAGCGGCAGCAGTGTCCAAGCAGGTGGCAGCGAACAAGACTTGAACTCATCAGCAACTCTTCGGCAGTGTTTCAAATGCTTTCCTTTTTATGTGTGTGTAGCGCTTGTGCCTGCCGAACTCCGCGTGTGATGCTTGGCATCGCACCTACCTCGACTCTAACTGACATTGCCTTTGCAATATGACGCCGCCATGCTCCATTGACTGCTGAGGTGAAGCATCTCATGCGCGACCCTCCTGAGTTTTGTTGTCCGATCTCTCATGCCCTGATGGAAGATCCAGTGGTTGCAGCTGATGGAAACCATTATGACAGATCTTGCATCATGAAATGCTTCGAGAAGAGCAAGCGAAGTCCTACTACGGGAGTGACAATGGACACAACCGTGCCGTGGAGAAGTTTGTGCTTTCATGCTTTACGCGTTCAGTTTTTGCACTTGGCTAGACGACTTGTCCTGTTGGTGTGGAGTTGCGTTGCAAAGGACTGAGACAACGGGGGTAACTAGTCGTTTGAACCATCTTGGCAGTTGTGTCCAACGTGGCGCGACCAATACTGACCAACAACAACAGTTATGACATTTTTGCTATGTGCTGGATTTCGTGTCCTTACATTGTGAGTAAGACGTGAAAAAGAAATGTGGATAGAGTTCTCCCATTGTTTCTGCATCTTCCCAGGTGCTCCACCCCAGTCAGCGCATGAAGTCCAGCATCATCGCATACAAGGAGAAGATCGTCGCGGAGGTCTTGTCGGTGGCCTCACGCCTGTCCAAAAAGGACGCGCTGGAAGTGCTCTTGAGAGGCCATGTAATTGAACATGCTTTACATCCAACATCATCCAACCATTTGTTGCTACCCTCCGCCCTCTCTCAAACAAAGATTGATTGATTGTGGGAACATGCCGTGCCCTTTGCTTAGGCTGTGAGTTCTTATCCCGCCTTCGTGTTGATGTTGAAAGACTTTCAATGTGATTTGCTCGGCTTTCTACAGTTTTGGACCCAGAAGCAGGTGAGCAGTTTGTCCGACCATGCTTGCCAGATGCTTCTGCAAAGAAGAAGTTGTCTTCACTTCTGCTCCTTCGTGTGAAGATGGTTCCTGGTACGAAGTGCAGCGAGGTAATTGAAGAACTTCTTCCGCTGCTCCTGGAGATGAAAGATGCGCTGCAGCTTAAGGTTTTGCTGCCTCTTCTCAACGAACCTGAAGCACTAGCCTTGCTTTCGAAGGCTAATGATGAGCTCGTAGACTCCTTGCGTGGCCCTGGGCCCCACAATTTTCTGGTCAACCAGGAGCTCGTTCGCCGAATTGCAAGCTCCTTGGTGACAGATGTGGAAGATGTAAAAATGAAGCACCTGTGGGTCTTAATTTGCCAAAATGTCAAGGATGATGAAGAGTGCTGGATGGAGGCAGCATCTTTGGTACTTGCAACTTTCAATGATAGGCTAACAGCAAAACTGGAAGAGCTTGAAATGGAACTCCTTCGACAGTCTTGTGGCTACCTCTTCGACAAAGAGAATGCAATGTCTTTTGCTGCCGACTTCTTCCAGAGTGACCTTGGCATTTCCGCCATGGAATCATGGCCACCTAGAAGTTCAGCGTCCATCTTTGCTGCAATGGCTGAAACTGCAGCTTCTTGTGCAAGCCCACAGCACTCATAGCTCTGACGAACATATCCGGTGTGTGCTGGCCAAACATCTCAGC